TATATATATATATATATATATATATATATATATATATATATATATATATATATATATATAGCACATATTAACAAACTCCATGAAAGCGGATCCGCTCATAAAGGGATTAGTTGCCTAGGTCTTTCATGAGCATGCTACACACGTTGGTGTGATATTTGGTTTTAGTGGAAGTTTTATGGTGCTTTATGTTTTGTTTAAGAACAATTATGTTTTTCTGTACAGAATTAAGAATTCGGTTAACTCCATTATTAGTTGCACTTATTTGAAGTTGGATCTCACTTCAATCTAAAGAAGAACTCGTTGGAAATCTATTTAGATTTTAAAACCACACATTATGATTAATCTATGTCGTTAGTTATATATGTATATGTGACCATTGATAGGTTTAGTTACATAAATTGTAACGAATACCGCTTTGATCCTATACTATTATGATTAGTGGACGAGATTGTTTAAGGGTACCAATATTATGATAACATTCATTAAATGATACATTTATATATTCATGGTCCAGTTGGAGATTGTTAGATAATTAATGGGACCACATCATATATATGTAATGTTATCATTAAATCTAGTTATTATGGTAAGAATATAAATTGTTGACGGACCGATTTATAGAATATTTACTTTCCTTGTGGTTTGAGTTCCCAGTTTGACTCAAGATCCCTTCCATCTCTCACATTAGGGTATATCTTCATTTATATATACATGTGATGAGGAACAGATCAAGACACAAAAAATACACATGTAAATTCGTTTAGCGTTTGTTGAGGGATTTTAGAGAGAGCTCTTGAAATCAACTGGAAAACATAACCCTAGTTCTTCAGATCCGAAAATCATAATGAAATCAGGTATATAATCGTTCTTTAATGTTTAAGTTTCCTTTTAATCAGGTTCGAGATTAAAGATCCAAAGTTTATACTTCCGTGTTTATGTTTTGGTTATCAAAATATCCAACAGTAGAACCCATTTTGTGTGAGATTTTTATAGGCTACTAACGAAAAATACATGATAATTAATTCATAACAAGCAAGTTTTTATATAGCCTTATTGTTATCATGTTACATATGTTGTTATTATTATATAAGAAATGCCAACAAGTGGTAATCAATGATGGATATAAGATGCTAACAAACACCGGCAAAATTGGGAAGTGCTTTAAAAGTAGAGAAAGATGGTGTTGAAGATGAATACAAACCGGACATAAAGAACATTGTTCATATCTTTAAAAAACATGGCAAAATTAATTTAAACTAACAATTATACAGTTACAGACAATACATCTAAGTTTCTTAAAAGTGTTTGCAAATGTGTTATTATTTTTCAGGTCTATTAAATTTCAAAGTGGTTTTAACCTACCCCGTGTAGTACACGGGTTACAACCTAGCATATATATATATATATATATATATATATATATATATATATATATATATATATATATATAGTGGCG